CGTGTACCCCCCAAACCCCATGTGCCCCCCCCCTCCCAACCCCATGCACCCCCCCCCCGGGGCACCCCCACACCCACCGGGGGGACCGGGGCAACCCCCATACCCCCCTGGGCCTCCCCCACCCCATTGTGGGCCCCCACCATGCCCAATGGGACCCCCAGGGTGCCCCCCCCACCCTGGGATGCCCCCCCCGGGCCCCCCCCACCATGGGGTGCCCCCCCTCTACCCCCCTGTGCTGGACAAGAAGGCGGCGAAGAAGATGAAGAAGAAGATGAAGAAGGCTCACAAGAGGCACAAGGTGATGGGGGGGGGGTCACACACATGGGGAGGGGGTCACACACATGGGGGGGGGCACTTGGGGGTCCCCAGGGTGCTCACGTCTCTCCTGTTCCCCCCCCACCACCCAGGGCTCTTCGTCCTCCTCCTCCTCCTCCTCCAGCAGCGACTCCGATTGAGGCCACCACCAGGGGCCAGTGGCCACCTCCTGCTGTGGCCACCCCATGACCACCCCATGACCACCCCGTGTCCATCCCGTGTCCATCCCGTGTGCCCCCGGCCCCCAGGACCACCCGTGTCCATGGCCAGGCGTGACCAAGCGTGTGCCCAGGACCACCCAGGAGCATCTCTGACCTCCCATGACCACCAGCGTGAAGCCGTGACCAACCCGTGGCCACCTGGGACCTGCGTCCATGACCACCCGTGACCATGTGGGACCTGCATCCATGACCATGCATGACCTCATGGGACCTGCTTCTATGACCATGCATGACCACCCGTGTCCAACCATGAGCTTCTGTGTGCATCCATGACCACACAGAACCATCCATGACCACCTGGGACCTGCATCCATGACCACCCGTGGCCATGTGGGACCTGCATCCATGACCATGCATGACCAGGCATGACCACCCATGTCCAACCATGACCACCCATGAGCAACTAGGAGCATCCATGAGCATCTGTGACCACCCGTGACCATCACTGTGAAGACCTCCCATGACCACCAGTGTGAAACTGTGACCAACCCATGACCACGTGGGACCTGCATCCATGGCCACCCATGACCACCCATGACCACGTGGGACCTGCATCCATGACCATGTGGGACCTGCATCCATGGCCACCCATGACCACCCATGGCCACGTGGGACCTGCATCCATGGCCACCCATGGCCACATGGGACCTGCATCCATGACTACCCATGGCCATGTGGGACCTGCATCCATGACCATCCATGACCACGTGGGACCTGCATCCATGACCACCCATGACCACGTGGAACCTGCATCCATGGCCACCCATGACCACGTGGGACCTGCATCCATGGCCACCCATGGCCACATGGGACCTGCATCCATGACCATCCATGGCCATGTGGGACCTGCATCCATGACCACCCATGGCCACGTGGGACCTGCATCCATGACCACGTGGGACCTGCATCCATGACCACCCATGACCACGTGGGACCTGCATCCATGACCACGTGGGACCTGCATCCATGGCCACGTGGGACCTGCATCCATGGCCATGTGGGACCTGCATCCATGACCACCCATGGCCACGTGGGACCTGCATCCATGACCACCCATGGCCAAGCAGGACCTCCCTGGGATCTCCTGTGTCCATCCATGACCACACGTGCCCAACCAGGACCTCCCATGTCCTGGTGCTCCCCCCCCGTCCCCTCAGCCCGCAGGCAGGCCCTGGGTGCTGGGGGGCGCTGGGGGATGCTGGGGTGCCCCCGCTGTTCCCCAATAAAGCCCTGGGACCCCCTCATTGTGTCAGTGTCTCCTTTGTGCCATTGAGGTGGGGGGACAAACACACACCCCCTGTCAGCATGGAGGGGGGGAACCTGCCCCATGGCCCCCAACCTGCCCCCTGCTTCCTTCTTGTCCCCATTGCCCCCATTATTGTGCCACCTCCAGCCCCTCATGCCCCCACTACCTCCCATTGTCCTCTTCTTGCCCCCTTATACCCCATTATTGTCCCCCTCCAGACCCCAGTTGCCCCCTTCTTGCCCCCTGTTGTTGCCCCCATGCAGTCCCCCAGGTCCCCATTACTCCCGTTACCCCATTGTCGTTTTCCTGCCCCCTTATACTCCATTATTGCCCCCCTTATACCCGTTATTGCCTCTCTTATACCCCATTATTGCCTCCTTATATCCCGTTATCCCCCCCTTATACCCCGCTATTGCCCCTTTATACCCCATTACTGTCTTCTTTATACTACATTATCACCCTCCTTATACCCTGTTATTGCCCCTTCATACTCCATTATTTCCCCCCTTATGTCCTGTTATCACCCCCTTTATACCCCATTACTGCCTTCTTTATACTACATTATTGCCCCCTTTATACCCCATTATTGCCCCCTTATACCCTGCTATTGCCCCCTTTATACCCCATTATTGTCTTCTTTATACTACATTATCGCCCTCCTTATACCCTGTTATTGCCCCCTTCATACCCCGATATTGCCCCCTTTATTCCCCATTGCTGTCTTCTTTATACTACCTTATCGCCCTCCTTATACCCCATTATTGCCCCCTTATATCCCGTTATTGCCTGCTTTATACCCCACTATTGCTCCCTTTATGCCACATTATTGCCCCCTTTATACCCCATTATTGCTCTCCTTATACTCCGTTATCACCTCCCTTATATCCCCTTATCGCCCCCTTTATACCCCATTATTACCCCCTTATACCCTGCTATTGCTCCTCTTATATCCCATTATCGCCTCCCCTTATACCCCATTATTGCCCCCTTATACACCACTATTCCCCCCTTTATACCCCATTACTGCCTTCTTTATACCACATTATTGCCCCCTTATATCCCGTTATCACCCCCTTTATACCCCATTATTGCCCCCTTATACCCTGCTATTCCCTCTTTATACCCCATTACTGTCTTCTTTATACTATGTTATCACCCTCCTTATACCCCGTTATTTGCCCCCCTTATATCCCGTTATCACCCCTTTTATACCCCATTATTGCCCCCTTATACCCTGCTATTGCCCCCTTTATACTCCATTATTGCTCTCCTTATATCCCGTTATTGCCCCCCTTATACCCCATTATTGCCCCCTTTATACCCCATTATTGCCCCTTATACCCCGCTATTGCCCCTTTTATACCCATTACCTTCTTTATACTGTGCTATCGCCCTCCTTATACCCTGCTATTGCCCCCTTTATACCCCATTACTGCCTTCTTTATACATTATCACCCTCCTTACACCCCATTATTGCCCCCTTATACCCCGCTATTGCCCCTTTTATACCCATTACCTTCTTTATACTATGCTATCGCCCTCCTTATACCCCGTTATTGCCCCCTTATACCCCATTATTGCCCCCTTTATACCCCGTTATTGCCTCCCTTATACCCCATTATTGCCCCCTTTATACCCCATTACTGTCTTCTTTATACTACATTATCACCCTCCTTATAGCCCGTTATCATCCTCCTTATACCCCGTTATTGCCCCCTTTATACCCCATTACTGCCTTCTTTATACTACATTATCGCCTTCCTTACAACCCATTATTGCTCCCCTTATACCCTGTTATTGCCCCTGTTATACCCCATTATTACCTTCTTTATACTATGCTATCGCCCTCCTTACAACCCGCTATTTCCCCCTTTATACCCCATTACTGTCTTCTTTATACTACATTATCGCCCTCCTTACACCCCATTATTGCCCCCTTATACCCTGCTATTGCCCCCTTTATACCCCATTATTGCCCCCCTTATACCCCATTATTACCCTCTTTATGCTATCGCCCTCCTTATACCCTGTTATTGCCCCCTTTATACCCCATTACTGCCTTCTTTATACTACATTATTGCCCCCCTTATACCCCGTTATTGCCCCCTTATATCCCGTTATTGTCCCCCCTTATACCCCGTTATTGCCCCCTTATACCCTGCTATTGCCCCCTTTATACCCCATTACTGCCTTCTTTATACTACATTATTGCCCCCCCTTATACCCCGTTATTGCCCCCTTATACCCCGGTATTGCCCCCCTTATACCCCATTATTACCTTCTTTATAATATGCTATCGCCCTCCTTATACCCCGCTATTGCCCCCTTTATACCCCATTACTGCCTTCTTTATACTACATTATCGCCCTCCTTACACCCCGTTATTGCCCCCCTTATACCCCGTTATTGCCCCCCTTACACCCCGTTATTGCCCCTTTATACCCCATTATTGCCCCCTTATACCCTGCTATTGCCCCCTTTATACCCCATTATTGCCCCCCTTATACCCCATTATTACCTTCTTTATACTATGCTATCGCCCTCCTTATACCCTGCTATTGCCCCCTTTATCCCCATTACTGTCTTCTTTATACCCCGTTATCACCCCCGTTATCGCCCCCCTCTCCCCTCTCCTTGCCCCTTTGCCCCCTCCCCTCAGTCCTCCGCTCCGCCGCAGCGCCCCCCTCTCCCCCGCTGCCGCTCTGCCTCTCCCCGCGCGGTCTCGGTGGTGCTGGGGGCGGGGCTCGGTGCCCGCTCTGTCCCCGCCCCGCCTCGCCTCGTTGGTACGTCCGTTTCCGGGTCGGGCCGGGTGTAAATCGCGCCGCCGCCGCCGCCCCCGCCCAGAGCCGCCGCGGCCGCCGCAGCTCGAGCAGCGCCGCCGCTCCCGCCGCGTCCGCCGCTCCCGCCGCCGCCCCCCCCCACCTTCCCTCCCCTCCTCCCCTCCCTCCTCCTCCTCCTCTTCCTCCTCCTCCTCCTCCTCCCGCTCCCGCTCCGCCCGCAGCGCCCTTCTCCCGCCGCCGTTACCGGCGCTGCTCCAGGTAGGCCCGACCCCCATCCCGTCTCCTCTCCCCGTTTGCCCGCTTTCCCTCCTCCATCCGCTCCCTTCTCCCGCCGCATCGACGAAGCCTCGGCCTCGCGTACCCCGCTCCGGCCGCTCCCCGCCTCGCGGCGCCCGGCCGCGCCCTCACCGCACACCGCGGCCTACGCGCGGCCTACTCGCGGCCTACCTAGGCCGCGGCCTGCGTGCGCGGCGCGGGGCCGGGCCCGCCCGCGGTGGGGGTTGGGGGGGGGGGGGGGGGGCTCAGCCGCTGCCCCTCCCCCACTGTAACCTCCCCCCCGCCCCCTCCCCACGGCGGAGACCGGCCCGGGGGGGCTCGTGCGTCACATGGCGGCGACCCCCCCCCCCCCCACCCGGTACCGACGGGGGGGGGCGGGGGGGGGCCGTGATTTTTTCCTTTTTTTTTGTTTTATTTTGCTTTTTTCCCCACTGTTTCTTTTTTTTTTCTTTTTTTTCCCATTTTTCACTTTTTTTATTGTTATTTTGAATTTTTTTCTCCTCACCGGGCCCGGTTTTGCCGCCATCGCGGGGGGGGGGGCTGTTCCCCTCCCCCCTCCCGGGCCCGGTTTGCGGCTCCGGTTCCCTCCGGCCTGAGCCGCTCCGGGACTTCCCGGTCCCCCCCCCACGGCCCGGGCCTGGTTCAGCGCCGCCATCCGGATGTGGCCGCGCTCGGGGCTCGGTTCCGTTCCCTTTCTTCCCCCCCCAGATCCCGGTTCGGAGCCGGGATCGGAGCCGCCTTCCCTCCGCTTCCCCCGTTATGGTCCCGGGAGCGGGTACGGAGCGGCTCGGGGGCCGTTTTCCCGCAGGGAAGCCGGGATCACAGCGCCGGCTCCCGCCGCGGCTCCGCTTCCCCCTTTGCCTCCCCCCCCCGGCGCTTTGGGATGGGAAAGAAGCGCCGGGATCACCGAGCAATGCCCATGGGCAGCGGGGGCCGGGAATGGGACCGGGAT